CATCGAGTCATAGGGAGAAACTTTTTCTGCAGCTTTTAATCGGCACCTATGTAATCCAGCATTTCTTCAATCGTATATGCCCTTCCCACTAATATACGATTGTCCGTACCATTCCAAAGTCACAAGCACCAGATACTATGTCGCTGATCTAGTGCATTCGAGCAATTTTCCTCCTAAACTGTCTTCGACAATAAATGAAATGCTATTGTATTTTTTGCGTAGATAGACGACTAGCTTGGACAACGAAAAGACCTTCCCAGCTTCTTGCAAGGCGTCATCAAAGTGATACTATACTGTAATAAATTGCACTTACCTACTTATTGGCTGTCCTCTGTCATCCATGTAGATGATGTGGGTTAGATTACCGCTTGTCTGCACAACTTCATGAGGCTTCTCCGTAAGAGGACCCACCAACTTCTAGCAGCTCACAATCACCACATAGCTGACTTTGGCTCGACAGACAAAGTATATCATTCCTTACTTCGACCCACATTACCCACCCCCCCCCTAATTCAACATTTTTTGGACGAAAAGTTAAATCTTGATTGCATTTGGACAGTGTGGATGGACTGTGTCTACGCGAATTGACGATAACTGTCTACAGCGTGTGAATCACATGGACCGTGGCAAAGTAGAATTTAATGCCAAAAACCCATTAATTTCTATTTTTCGACTTATAAAACTAGATTCCAGATACTTAATTACCATATCTTATCAAATTGCAATGTAGGCAAATTCGGACAAATTTTAGACATTTTTAGTGCATGATTTTTCTTTCTCAGTAGGTCAGTCCAGAGTGCACTAGGCGTAAAAGTAATTCAGTCGAAACCACTTTATATTAGAGTGTATTTTAGCATTACTAATTGGCAATGTGTTAGACAGAAATATGCCTCTTCCACATTTTGATTCCGTTCTTAGCCCGTAGAAGCATGCGGAATCCCATAAACTAAAACAAAGGGAATTGCCGTGTGTCAACTCAGAGGAAAATAACCGAAATTGTAAAAATTAGATTAACAGATGCACAAGTTAGTGCTTGGGTTGGCACAGTGTCCACGTATACCGTGGATGGGAACGCAAACAATAACGTTCCCATTTTCAAAAGATATATCTATCTTCTGACAGGAAAATATTCGCATGCATTTAATTCATATAACCTACAAGCATCACTGAAATTATCAAAGCTGCCCATAAGTAGTCAGCAAACAGAAGTTTAAGCAGCAAGAAGGTTTCATAGCCAGGAACTCAAAGCATTGACATGTCTCCGTGACGTCAAGCCTGAGTTGGTACATTGGTGATCAACGTAAGTAATGAGTATTCAGCTAAGCGTTGATCCTGGCAAAGCGTATAAAAATGCGACGTCCATTTCGTCTAGAGGCTCGAGGAAAGGCAAATGCTTCCTAGCTATCGTTTTCATTCTATATTCTTTGCAATGTTAGCGTTATTCGGTGTTCACTTGCAACATCTTGCACCATGGAGTTGCATCATTCGAAATGGATCACTTGACATTCCTGGTTAGAGTCATTCCCATCAGGCCAAAGTAAAGGGAGAGCAGAGTTTTGACTTGATTCTACTCTCCTTGCACTCTAATGCAGTTCAAAAATGCCAAAACAGTAAAATTCACTTATTTACCTAAAGCGTTCTATGGGCATACCAATCATTTTAATCGTTTATAAAATTGTGCCATTTTCAATGCTTTAAGGGCTGGGGTATGGCAATTTTATTTTGGGATGTGATCAAGAGTCGTTGATACACGTCAAAGGGAATGGTCATTTACCTTATCTAGCTAAAAAGTGTACGCTTATAGTAGTTGTTTTGTAACAAATTTTAATCCCGATTGTACAATTTTGCTCACATTGATCTGTCTGCCCAAACTATTCATGAGTTTTAGATGTCGGGTAGCCA